CTTGTTCTTCGTTGATGATGATGAGAGACTATTTCAGCATTGTCAATTACGAACTATTGGTGTGTTCTTATTTGGTGAATCTCGTGATGCATTTCCGTTGTTGGTTCGAGGTCAAGACTATCTGGACTCGTATGTATGATGTTGTTTGATTGATGGAGTTCGCTAATGCTCATCTTCCTTGCACGAGTCCTCAGGGGCACTTAAACAACATGCATATGTTCTGACAGAGGGCCCCCAACAAGCCTTGAGCCCACCCTAAGTGAAGGCGGGCCTGAATATTCACGAGAGGCCATTATCTCAGCATTTCCCAATGCGGGTCTGAGACAGTCGCTGCATGACAGTTGGTTGAAGAGCAACCTGAGGCCTTACCCTAGCTGCGGGTGGTTGAGCGTAGGGCACACACATTGCGAGACAGATACATCACGAAGTGGCCACGGGTCAACAAGAAAGCAGCATTGTCGTCGTATCTACCCCGTGGCCCAGTGCAAGTGCAGCAGACATTCGGAGCCTGGAAAGTTCTGGGTGTGCCCAACTAAAAAGGCCCCAGGCCCGAAACTGTCGAAGTTGGCCATGGCGCAGACACTGGGGCCCGACCGGAAGCTACTAGAAACTTCCACGGTCAGGCCCACACAGTCCAGCAGTCGCAACCTCTCCCATATACAGTTGGTTGAAGAGCAACCTAAGGCCTTACCCTAGGTCCGGGTGGTTGAGCGCAGGGCACACACATTGCGAGACAGATACATCACGAAGTGGCCACGGGTCAACAAGAAAGCAGCATTGTCGTCGTATTTACCCCGTGGCCCAGTGCAAGTGCAGCAAACATTCGGAGCCTGGAAAGTTCTGGGTGTGCCCAACTAAAAAGGCCCCGGGCCCAAAACTGTCAAAGTTGGCCATGGCGCAGACACTGGGGCCCGACCGGAAGCTACTCGAAACTTCCACGGTCAGCCCCACACAGTCCAGCAGTCGCAACCTCTCCCGTATAGGAAGGAGGCTGGCCAGAGCTGGGCATTCTGGCCAATGCTGGCACTGTGGACACGCTGCTGTGCTAGAAAGCTAGTGTCTGCATGCGCTAGCTTGGGCTGGGGTGCGCGCGGGCGCTGAGAGATGAGGGCGCTGCAGGGGCAGTGGGGCGCTAGCCGCCATAGCCGGGCTGCAGGGCGCGAGGCAGAGGAGGGCAACAGGAGGTCTTCGGGAGGAGGCACAAAAGTAGGTGACAGCGGGTGATGAGGGGAGACGAAGATACGTATCTGGTGTATGTGGGAGGTCGGTGTTGGTGTTGACGACATGTACATTGGTCTTCGAAGTCTAAGTGAACTCTTGTAAGAACGTAGATAGGCAAGTAGAGTAGGTTGTGCGCTTGGCACCAGACAGAGAGGAGCGACATTGAATAGTGTGTTGGTGTGGCCTGAGGGCTTGAACATTGGCTCACGAGTTCATTGTATTGCTCTTATTTGGATGGAATGCTGGTGCATTTGCGCTCTCTGCTTGTACATGACTATCTGGACTCCTGCATGATTTTGCAATTTGGTTTTCTGTATATCGCTCTTGCTCATATTCCTTGCAATTTGGTGTCGGAGCGGGTTCGAGATCACCTATCTGCCGCCGGCGACATTGTTACTTGGTACACTAACAATGCTTCTCTGCAGTGAGAATACATTGGCGCTGGCATGGCAACACGACACCCAGGTTGAGGGGTGCGATGCAGGAAGCCTGTGCCGACAACGGATGTATGTATGATGATGAGAGCATGCTGATGTGGCATTTTGGCTGAGGTGGCACTGCATTGCACTGTGGGTGGTACCGAAGCTACGATCGGTCATCGAAATGCAGATTGGCTCAATTGGTGAGAAATCTGTGGTTTGGGGCAGCTTTCTCCAGCTATGTTGTTCCTTACCTTATCTAACCTCTCAATCTCTTCTTACCGTGAGGAAGTGAGTCCAACCTTGAGTGTCCTCTCTTTTGAGTAAGGAGTTGTAAACGTCTACCTTGAGAGACTACATTCTTCCCATTGGCGCATCTGGCAGAAAAGGGCGGCGCCTCTGAAGGGCCCCGGTCGAAGCACGGGTCACGGTCACCATGCCAACCCATGGGAGTAGTACGCGTAGGCCATGCTGCTTTGTCCTTTAAGGCTCTTTGCTGCGCTGATAGAGGGGTGTGCGGACTAACCAGTCCTATGCAGACGCTTACCAGATAGTCTATAAATATTTCTGGCGGGAATCTGAACTGTCCACTGGCTGTGATCATCATCCTGTCCGCCACGTTAAATAATTTATGAGGACCTTGGGGGCTGACCTTAAATTGCCTCTTGATCAGCCAGATCAGTCAGACGTATGGCTCGATGCACGCGAGGATAAAGAAAGGGCAGTACCGGTCATAAGCATATTCATAGGCACAGGGGTGGGCCGTTAATGAACACCTTAGACACCACTGCTTGATGATGCGGACAGGCACATTGGATACAGGGGAGGGAGATTCGAATTGACGCTCAACTGTCAATCACAAACATACCCATTGTGCATACATCTGCTCACACGATTTATTTTTATTTTTGATTAGTTGGTGGACAGACTGCTAACACCTAAAAGACAGCCTATATTAGTATTGTAGTGTTCTACCATAGCTAGTTCTGATCGAAGCTGCTATGAGTGAAAGTAATTAAGGTAGGGGTAGATCATGTGTACAGTTTGTGTGAATGCTGTTGATACCGCTTGAACAGTAGCCTAGGCGACTTGCTAGATATTATTTGATTTTTAGTTATTTTCACAACCTGGTCAGACACATGCTGCGGTAGGCTCCAGCGAGGGCAATAGTGCAGACAGTGTCTACCTAGCTGATGAGTGGACCAGGCAGTGGTGAGGACAGATCTGCAGGAAAGAGGGTGACACGTCAGGAGTCCCTTAGGATCCCCATTGTGCACCAAGCTTTACCCCCTGGAGAGTGCTTTGCCACAGGAAGCAGTAGCTGAACGCTTACAAAGGGCTAGCGAAGCGGTAGTAGCAGTCGAGCAAACGCTTGCAGCGACAACAACCACTGTAGCAGCTATGGCTACTTCAACTGCTACTTCAGCTGCTACATCTGGTCGGATGAGCGTAGGCATGCCGCACACTTTGCAGGCCACATCCAGCACAGTGGCGTCAAGCAGTTCTTCCAGTCAGATGGCGGGCTCGCAATACAACTCACCACCTCCACGCACTAGGGAAGTCATGGAACTCCAGCAAGTGGAGTTGATCCGCTTACGGTTAGAGAAGGAACTTAGAGAAGCTACAAAAAGAGAGAACGAGATTAGAACTAGAAAAGCTAGACTAGAGAATAGGGAAACAGTCAAAGCTGCAGTAGAAGGGTTAGATGAGGATGTCATTGATGACAACACGCGGATCCTCAAGGCAAGTCTCCTGTCCATGCATGCATACATGGACAACAAACTGGATGCTATCCAGGACACCTTTGACCAGATACTGAGCACCATGCAGGGAATGGGAAGAGCTTTCCCTTCTCCAATAGGTGGGCCTAATTTTCGGCCTTCAGTTTTCCCATCGCCGGTTTCCTCATCGGTGATGAGTAGTCCTACTATGTCTTAGTTTAGCAGTTCACCAAGCGATACTTCAGCAGCAGCAGCACAAACTGCTGCTTCTTCATCTTTTGGTCCAGCGGTGGGAGCTACACAACCGCCGGTCCCACCACAGGGACAACAACAGCCTTGGTACCCCAAGACTCCACTGAAGTCACCCTCAACCTTCTCAGGTGATAAGAATGATGAGGCTCTCGACACTTGGTTGAGAACGGTGCCAGTGTGGGTGAGGGCGAAGATGACCCTTGTAGAGGAAGAGGTGATCACTGTCGCATCCTATCTGGAAGGTTCGGCACTGCGGTGGTTAGATGGATTAGTGGCTTCAAAGGGATTCGGCAGAAACATGAGCAATTGGGCGAAGACCCATACTTTAGAGAGTTTTATGGAATTTTTAGAAGCGCGATGGCACAGCCCGCAGCAGGCCCTACAGACCACTGACGCGTTGGCCCAAGTTTATACTACGAGGTACAAGACCGTGTGCGAACTTACCTTTGTCGTAGAGCGTCTCATTGTGGTCCCTGGAGTACACTATGATCCACAGGTCCTATTGACCATGTATTTGAGACGTCCTCCCACATACATCAAGAACGTGTTGGTTAGTGAGGCCAACATCGAGTATCACACATTGGATTCCTTTAGCAAGAGATCCCTAGACTTAGAGGCTACGCTAGGAGGACCTCAACAACCCCCTACGGACGAAAGAAAGAAGAAGAGTCCACAAGAGTGGAAGAAAAAGGGTAGTCGGTTGATGATGGTTGATTCCGATGGGAATCAAACTGAGATCGATGATGTATCCGACCTTGTGGATGGTTCAGAGTTGGATGGCGACGAGAGTGTTGAGGGTAGCAACCTTGCCTCACTGGTAAAGGTTAAGGCAGGCGGCCGTGGCAAGGGCGGCCAACCAAAGAGTCAGGGCCAGACCCATAACTCTCAACCAAGATACCAGTTTCGGTGAGGGTAGGTCTGGAACAAGATGTGTGGCGAGACCGCTATTCGCGAGGTGCTAGCATCAACAACGGCGAGTACGACCATCAGCAGTTCAGATGCAAGAACGCGAAGGTGTCGCAGAAGATAGCTCCCAAAGGTGGTTATGGGAATTCCTTCTCCCAAGGTGGGGCTTCTACGAGCTCCAACTCGGGAAACACACCGGGTCAGTAGAAGTTATAGCTGCTTCTACTCCGAAGAAGTGGGTGATGTATCCTCCCCACTTCGAGAGTTGGCGGACGCTATTGACTCTGTGGTCACCCCGCAGACTCATCCTGACCCAACGATACTTTGTTCGTTGGATGTGTCTGAGGCCTTAGAGGACTTGCAAAGTGAGTGGTCGACAAGGGACCCTCGCGAGTCTTAGGTGGCACTTAGTAGAGGTCCTAGAGGGGGGCACTTCGTTGTGGAAGTCCGTGTACGTGGCCGCAAATGTGGTGCCTTCATAGACATTGGCTCCACGCAAAACTTCATAAGTCGCGACTGCGTTGAGGGACTGCGCCTAAGGGACCGGGTCCAGCGCTTGGGTAGATCTGTAGCTTCTACCTTAGCCAACAAAGAGCGCATGGTTGCCAATGGCTACGTTAAGGACGTGGTTTGCACCTTCTACTATGGAGGTGGGGAATTGAATCATAAGATTTCGTTCCTAATCAGCGACGACTTGCATTTTTATATGTTGTTAGGTATGTACTACCTCGAGGTTGCAAAGCCCTAGTTTGACTGGGACAAAAAGGTACTTAAGCATGTACTACCGGAAGGGAGGACAGTCAGACTTGCCAACTATAAAGCTAACAGTCTGATAGACACTTACCGGTGTATGTGTGCATCAACCTTTTATAATTATTATAAACAGAACCAAGAGGAGGGTATGTACTTAGTTTTCGTCTATGAGAAAGGGGAGGTCGTTAAAACACCCGCAGAGATAGAAAATGTTGTCACAAAATACCCTGACATGTTTGCGGAGCCTCAAGAGTTGTAGAACGGGAGGTTGTCCATGCCATAAAGATAGTTCCGGGGAGCAAGATACCCAAAGGAAGGATCCATGGGAACTCAGGCGACAACTGAAAGAGCTCACCGAGAAGGGTTGGATATGGCCTAGTACCTCCCCCTTCGGCTCACCAATCTTATTTGTCCGAAAGAAGAGGGGGACACTAAGGATGTGCATTGATTATAGAGGCCTCAATGCCATCACTGTTAAGAACGCAAAACCTCTACCGCGCATCGATGATTTTTTGGATAGGGTGCAGGGATGTAAGCACTTTACTAAGACTTAAAGTCCGACTACCATCAAATTGCCATTAGATCGGAGGACCAACACAAAACCGCATTTCAGACCAGGTTCGGTTTGTACGAGTTTGTGGTGATGCCCTTTGGCCTTTGCAATGCGTCGGGTACATTCCAGCACGCCATGAATAGGATATTCCACGACTACATAGATAAGTTTATCGTCGTGTACCTGGAAGACATACTTATCTTTAGTAGAACAATCGAGGAGCATGCTCAACACTTAGAAACAATACTTTCACTCCTACGACAACACAAGTATAAGATTAACTCAGAGAAATCCGAGTTCGATCGCACTAAAATCTTGTACTTGGGTCACGAGATATCCGCGGATTGGACAAGGCTTGAAGATGCCAAGGTGGCCAACATTCATGACTGGCCACAACCGTAGTTTGTGACCGAGGTCAGATCATTCTTAGGGATGACTGGGTACCACCGCAACTTTGTCAAAAACTACAGTACTTTGGCCAACCCTTTGACCGATCTAACTCGCCTTGACACACAATGGGAATGGACTAACGAGTGTGAAGGTGCTTTCAAGCGATTGAAGCATGCTCTCACGCACCATGAGGTTCTCATGGTTCCCAATCCTGAGAGGCCATTTGTTGTTACCACTGACGCAAGCCAATATGGCATTGGCGCAGTGCTGGCTCAGCAGGAACGGAAGAAGTTGAGGCCGGTCCAGTACAAGAGCAAAAAGATGCCTTCTAAAAAGACTGCGAAGTCCACCTATGAAAGGGAACTCTACGCCTTCTATACGGCACTTGTCCACTGGAGACACTATTTGTTGGGAAGGTTCTTCTATCTGAGGACCAGCCATCAAACACCTAAGTGGATTAAGACAACCTGTTCTCTCTGACGATCGCTGGTGGAAGCCTACAAGGAAGATTTTGTCACAATGGACATCATCCGCAAACTTTAGGCCCAAGACAAGGCCACATCTGATGAGTTTGTTATGGTGGATGGGTTACTCTTTCTTGAGAAGGCAGGGTTTAAAAGATTAGTTGTTCCAGCTAGTGAGATTTTGCATAGTTTATTTTTAGGAGAACGTCATGATGCAATAGGACACTTTGGCTCTAAGAAGACTAGTGCAAATCTGGTACAACGATTTTGGTGGCCTGGTATGCTAGACGAAGCTAAACAGTACGTTCAAACTTGTCAAGTCTGTCAACGGGACAAGCCGCTTGGGTTACTTGAGCCTTTACTCACTCCTGCTGGTCCACGACAGAGTGTTTCCATGGAATTCATGGCAACCGTCCGTGGTCCGTGGTTCGGGGTCCGGGTCCGGATCTCGGTCCGGATGTGTGGGCCCCAGCGCAACGGGCAAAAAACTTTTGGGTGGTCCAAGGCGTTCGTTCACGCCCTAGGCCACCCCAAAAAAATGGTGCCTGTTTTTTTACCGCCCTCACCAACGATCCGGAAGGCCCAAAAAGTCTATGAGGGGGTCTGCTAACTTTGGTTTTGTTTCCCACTTGCGGCGCAAGGGTGCGGTGCACCCAGAGCAGTGCGGTGGTCACCGATGCGCCAAAAGCTCGTAGGAAAAGAAAACAAAAAAAAAAGAGGAATGAATCTTCTGCTAGAACATGGAACCATACGCCGCCATATGTTTTGCCTTTTGTGCAAGTAGTGACGAGTGGAGCAAGGCCCTTAGGGCCACTACTCGTAGGAAAACGAAACAAAAGAAAGAGAGAGCTACGGGAGCAAGTAGTTGTAACTTGTAACCCATAACTGCTGGACAACATACCTGACTTCGGATCCAGAACATATATTGCTGGCCTCCTCCACTCTCACACGAAATTTGCCGAATGTCTCTTGAGATGTTGGACCCTCGCAGATGGCACTGCTGGGGTCCTTCGAGAAAAAGACTATTCAACAAGGAATAAGTGGGCTCATTTTTTTTTTTTCCTGTACTCCTTTGTCATTCTCCTCCTCTCTTCTTGTCTTCCTCCTCCTCATCTCCTCCCCCTACTCCTCCTTTTTGGGTTACTTATTTTTTATTTGGTCCGTTTCTCGATTAATGCGTGTCATCTTGGCGCAGGGGCCATGCTAATCTTGCCCTTGGGAAGTTGGGACATTCAATAAAATTGGAAGGAAAAGATTAGCATGGTCCCTACACATGGATGACACACTTTAACTAAGAAGTAGGAGTAGTGGCGTTTTTTTTTTTTTTTTT